CCAATGGAATATCAAGAATTTTCTGCACTAAGTCAGGATCTTAATAATCAAATTCGTACTTAATCGAGTTAAGTACAAATCCTCAAAGTACTTTCTTATTTAGGGTCAACTCGGACTATTTTACCTGGGCATTTTCGTAATTTCCTAACCAGATAATTTCGATATTAGCTCTTAACGAAAATGATTATAATTTAAAGATCCTATGGTCATTGTTTTTCCGAACATTCTCTGATCTTGAAATTATTCCTTAACAAACTTCTAGCATCTTGTACAAACCCTTTTTGGCATTAAAAAACAGTTATCCAAATTTTCCAAGCAAAACTAGCATTTCTTATGCACATCTGTAATTAGATCGGATCAATATGTCTTTTCAGAGTTATTAACCAACTTCCAGGGACAATTCTTGTCATCCTACAACATAAGGGTATTTTCGTAATTTTACCATACCAGAGTATTCTCATAATTGTCCATCCAAGTACCTTTAACATTTCACCTTTGATGATATAAAATATAAGTTACAAATCCAGGGCTGATTTCTTTATCACCAATCACAAACTTGTAATTTAATTCTAACAATTCATCAATCTCTTATATTAGTCATTCGATCCGTATTCAGTTACAGAATTTCCACCACATTCATATCGAGTGTATAAATTATTCAAGTCCACAAAAGTGATCAACGTTATCTTATTCATGCATTTACCAATATCAACATGTTCCATAAAGCATAAAGAGATAGTAAAGTATTACCTCGATTTTTGTGCGATACTGATCGACCATATAAATTCCATTCGAATGCCTTTGATCTTTAATTCAACTTTCAATATTTCCTCGGATCCATATCAACAGAAATTACATAAAAAAAAACGGAGCTTAATTCTGAAAAACGGATCGAATCGGATGATAAATCAGTGAAAAACAGCTTACCGGGTTCGAATTTGGCGAAACAGACTTCAGATTCGGATTCAAGACATCGAAAACATAAAATATGATCTTTCGAAAATTTTGAATTTTCGGTCAAAGTCAAAGTCAACGGGTTTGACTGGCAAGTTCGAGGCCTTCAGGTCCGAATTTCGAAAAATGGACTGCAGAATCGGATTCGGAACATCGAAAAATGTCAGGATAGGTATACTCGGTCAAAATCAAAGGTCGTTTAATGCCCGGTCAACGCCGGTCAATGGTCAACGCAGTTCAACATTCGACCATTTTATACAAATATCACCCTAACATAAATTAATTACAAAATTAGCCACCTTCTGCAAATATTTACAAAACTAACACCCGAATTTTACACAAATAGCACTCAAACAGAAATTAATTACAACCAGAAGATGCCCACTCTCGAGGGTGGCGCGTGAGGCGCGTGAACAGTGCTACGATGTCGGAAAATTCTCGAAAAAATTCCTAAAATTTATTTTAAGGGATTTTGAGGCACTTACAAAGCTCGGTTCACAATTTTGAACGGCGGAGAGCTCGATTTCGAAACGTCAGAAACTTTGACGGTCTCACCCCTCCACGCGCCAGCGACGACGGAGAAACGGAGAACACCGGTGGACTCGGAACGATGCAAGGAATACGATGGTGCGGGAGGTGTCGTAAACGGATGATCGGATCGTCGTGAATCGACGAAAAACAAATTGAAATCGAGTTATTACCGACGATACTTCCGACTGAAATTAACGACAAACGACGACGATTCACGACGAAAGGTTTGAGGGGTTTTGTTCCTCGGTCGACAACGAACACGATGGTGGTTTCGGTTCGTCGATCGGAGGTCAGACGGCGAGTAGATCGAAGTTGAAAGGAGGGTTGAAGGGGAGGGAAACTGAGAAATTAATTTGTAGAATACACGGGAAATGGGTGTTGTAATTCATCCAAAAAGAAAAATGGTCAAATTATGAGTTTAGTCATTGGATTTCTTGCACTTTATAAAACGGTCTGCCAACTTTGAAATTTTTCAATTTAATCCTCAATTTCCTTCCAAAATTCCAATTAAATTCACCACTTTATAATTTCTTAAATTTAGCCCATAAATTGGGGTGTTACAATTTTTATCATATCTCAATCAACAAGTTAACTTCTAGCTCAGGTTACCATCAAATTTTCTAACGAAAAAAGACGAGTTTGAATATATGAATAGTCGATAGATTATTTGATAGCTTTCAATAGTTGAAGACTCAACACAATATCCTATAATCGAAGGACTATTTTGATACCTTTAGTTACCTTCGACTTATTTCCAATCGATTTTATTTACTAGATAGAAAATTAATTACTTTTCGGGGTTTCATTCATCATGTGTAAATACTATACATGAATTTAGGTTAGAAAGGTGTGAAGTTGGATTTTAAATAAAAAATATACTTAAATTATATAAAAAAAATTAAAAAATTTAATTGTAATAGATCCCTTCGATCCATCCTGATCCCTTCGATCCATCCCAAATCTCATTGTTTTATTTTAGTCTTAGTTTTTCATTAAACGGTCGTACTAGAAACTTTTTAAAAAAAAATTAAGACTCATTAAGCGGGTCGTACTATGAACTCTTTATACTATGTTTTTCTCATCAATAATTAACTTTATATAATGAATAGGTAATAGCGATTAGGGTTATTCATTAAGCCTCGATGTAGTTTTGACATGAAAGTGAATTTCTCTCCTCGATGTAGTTTTTATATTTTACACCTTTTTTTTAAATGTTCTTAATGTTAATCGTTTTTATTTTAAACATCATTATCTTTTTCAATTAATATAATATATTGTAATCCTAACCCACCAAATAGAGTTTTATTTATCAATTATAAATTGATGTAACAAGATGAGGCGTTAGATTGTCTAAATAAAATTAAGAGTTTACACCCTAAAGTTGTGAACATATAAAACCATATTGAGAGAATCGTCCGCCTATTAAAATTTTATAATACCTAATTAAGATTGATAGAGTAATCAATCAAATACTTGTGAATACAAAAAATAGAGCTATGTTTATGGTTTCTTGGGGACGAAGGTTAACTATTAAATATCTAAAATTGATAATAAGTAATAACCTCGTAAATGGGCAGCACGTTTTATTCCCTTAGCAGCCGCACAATTAAGTCAAGGGGTATAAATGTTATGGGGACCAAAGGCATATATATATATGGAGCATAATATATATATTATAAGATTAGGATACATTTACACCTAGTCCGTTTTTTTTTAGTTTTACATCTTTTTAAATTGTTGGACGAGGGGAAATCAAAATTTGATATTATCTCCTTATTATTTTCAATTGATATCTTCTCATTTCCTACTATTAATCTTACACTTTGATTTTTCTCATTCAACAATCCTAAAAAGATGTATAATAATTGGATCCTAGTTATATATATATATATATATATATATATATATATATATATATATATATATATATATATGTGGGGGCGTTAGAATTCATTTATATTGTGTAAAACTTTTTTTTTTAATTTTGTAACTTTTTAAGACTATTGGATTGAGGGAAATCAAAGGTTGAAATTAATTCTTTGTTTTCTTTTTCTAGTGAATATTTTTTCAATTTTCTACTGATAATTTTCAAAATTTAATTTCTCTGATCTAATGGTCATAAAAATGTAAAACTAAAAGAATTTTGCACAGTATAATTTGATTATATATATATATATATATATATGAGTTTAGTGATCAAAATCATTGCAAATTGCGACTCAGTCATCAAGTTGTGGGGTATGTACCAAAGTGAAGCCCCAACCCTTCGTTTAAGGTTCCAAATTAAAGTAATCGTCATCCCAGTTACGTCAACATTCTTTCAAAGCGTTACGTTTGCGATGCAGTCCACGCGTTTATGGAAACCGCCGTTCCCTAGGTTTTCTTCCCTTGTATATAAATAAACCCACAAGGAACACACGAGAATCACTTGTACACGCTGTTGCGTCCAACCTAAACAACCCCTTTCTTTCAATCTTTTTTGGTTTTCAGTTGCAGATATGGCAACCAGCAAGAAGAGAGTTCATGAGTGCATTAATGGCGGTGAATATAAGGAAGAAGAAGGAGAAGAGGAGAAGATGGAGCAGTTCTTTGCCCTAATAAGGAATTTCCATGAAGCCCTTAACAGAAGAAAAGATGAGCTGAGAGAAATCAAGTTAAGGAAGCTGTCAAGTTGGGTTCCATCTTTTGAATCGGCTGATTTCACCCAAGATGAAAAACAACAAGAAGAAGAAGATGATGATGGGTTAGATCTTAGGCTCACCCTTTAGTTACTATCGGCTTCAATATTGTTAATTACTTAATAGAAACTTATTGTTGTTGAATTCATCATCTGTTATTTTGTTGTTGGTGAATTAGAGTATTCGATTTCGTTGACAAAGATTATCTTGATTGATTTTACGTTGCTATTAAGACAAATGAATGAAAGATTTGTTCTTTGGCTTCATAATTCAGACAATCAGATGCTAATGTGTGTTTTTTTTCTTTTACCCTATTTAGACATTAAGCGATGTCTTTTTAAATGTCAATATATTTTTGAGTGACGCTTTCACCGTTTGAACGGCAAAAACAAGTTTATAGCGGCGTTTTTAGACAAATGCCACGATAAATCAATATATAGTGACGGTTTTCGGAAAAACGTCGCTACAGACGCATATTTTAGTGGCCTTTGTATGTCAAACGCAGCAATTGTGTTGTACTTTAGTAGTATTTTTAAGAACAAATGCCGCAAATAGTTCAATCTTTTATTCCAATTTATACACTGAAACACCAAATTAAATCCCTTTCTTGATTGCATCCTCAAATAAGTTTTGTCCCACGGTCTTTTTCCCTCACAAATCTCTTTTTCCCTTGGGATAACGTCCGAATTAAAATCTACCCCTTGATTATAACTTTATTATCACGCCATTCAACGTCTTTTCTCTCTGAGCTGCTTCTTTTCTATATTCCCGAAATAGCCCTCCGTCACATCATAATTTTTTTCTCTCGTTTCAAGTTAAATCGTATTGCATCCGAAATAAGATGGTAGTCCGAAGGCATTGTTCTTTTCTAGAATATGCTGTAAGTTCCATTTTCCCTTTTTCATCTTATTTTCTTTCTGTTTTCCTTTACTTCCTTTCTGCCGTTTACCCCAAACCCACAAATTAATTTCTGCCGATCTCAGTCCTTTTTTGGTTGCTTCTTCGATCTCGCAAATTCCTTTCTTTAAATCTGTTGCTTCGCTGCTTTGCCCATCTGCTTCGTTGCTTCACTGTTTCACCTCCTGCTTTACCCAAAACGCAAGCCTCTCTCGTTCATTCAGCTCTCAATTATTTCACCCAAATCTCCAAACCCTAGCCCCGCACAGCCACCATAGCCCAGCCACCACCATCAGCGTAGCATCTCGCCGTCGTCGTACTCTTCCGGTCGTTAACTGTCAACCACCTGCAGGTATGTTTTCTTGTCCATCGCACCCTACTTTCAATCGGCCATGTTGTTTTGCTTGGGGTTTTTTTAATTGTGAATGTTGGGGGTTTTGTGAAACTAGTTTTTTGTTGAATTTAGTCGATTTTATTATATTATTTTGAGGGTTTTTAATTGTTAATAGCAAAGTTAATGGCAAAATTCCATCTTCTTCAACCCTTTCTGCTCTCTCCATTGCCGCTTGTTTACCCAAATAAACCAGTTTTGATTTTCACATTCATGGGTTGAAACTTGAAAGCACGATAGTTGTATAACATTAATCACATGCATATGGGTCAACATAATTTATTTCCCACATAATTTTTTGTGGCCTCTAACTTGGAATATTGTTAAACACTTATTTCTTTCTCTGGAAGAATAGGTAAGGTTGGAGCTTTTCTGGGTGGAGTTTCAGATAGTGTAGTTATTCTAATTGTCCATAATAGAGCTTGTGGAGTTGCATTTGTTGTGCTGTGCGGGTGTTGGAGAAGGGATATGTAATCTATTTGAGTTAAAGAAACTGTAGCAATTCGTTTTCTCGGTTAGCAGTGAAGAGCTAGTTGAGTCTACTTAGCCTACTGGTATGTCATGATGGAAAGTTGTTATCGAAATTCAGCCTTGCAAGATCTGCCGTTGTGTGGATTCGTTGAAAGTTTTGTTTCTGGTTTTGTGGGTCTTGAATCTCTCTTAGTTGAGTCTGTCGGATTGTCAGTCGTTGTAGAAGGTAGGTGATTCATGGTTTTGTCGGTATGTGGGTGAAAAGTAAGTGACCTCATTTGTGCTTATCTATTTCAGATTGTTGCAGGCACCCTACTGTTGTTATTTTCGCTCTAGGTATTTCGGTGTAATGATGTTGGTCTTTGATGCTGTTGGTTTCGTTTTATTTGTTGCTTAGTTTGGATATTGGCTGCGTTTTTTTGGAGGTTTTCTGTGTTTTGTTCTAGGGTGTTAGTTTGCAAGTTTGTCGTGTGCCTTTTTTTATTGGCAGTCGTGGACTACGATTCATAGATAGCTCGTGAGATTTGGATACTGATATTGTATCAAATATAAAATTATATCAAAAATATATAAGTAATTGCATGATATTAATAAGAACAATCAAAGCATTCTTAGAATCATTAGAGAGACTAAAAACCATTAGGAAAAAAAGGATAAAATTTTGAAATTTAGTGTAAGAAAAGAAAAGGGTTTTCACAGACCCCAAAGCTTAACTAGGTTTCTCCCTCATTGTGCAGAAACAGGATCTGGATTCCAAGTGAATGCTACTGACTACTGCTTTAATCAATGGCCGGATATGCACTCACATTTTAGTTAGGATTAATGTATTTGTTGGCCCTGACTTTAGTGAATGCTTCCTCTTTATTTTTCCTTATACCCTTCCTCTCTAGCTTTGCTCTCTCCCACGTACACACCCTTTAAAAAAATCACATTTATATAAACATATATTTGGAGCATTGCTTGAATATTCAATATCAGGAAACCTTACTTGTGGATATCAATATCAAGTTTTCAACTCTTTTGTATACTTTTTAAGGTAAAGGGCTACTTATTGATTGTAATAAGGCTTTTGAATTATATAACCATATCAGTGTGATTTCTTCAGACACCTCTATTTATAATTTGATACTTGACTACAGTTCATATTCTTATAATTGTGGTTTAGTGCATTGCATGTTGCTCCTTCTTTACAGGGCATGGGAATTGGGACGATAATAGTTAAAAGGATTGTAAAGTTTGTTACTCTAATGTTTCTACTAGTTTTGAAATTTTTAACAGGATTAAGTAGTTGTATATCAAATCTGCCCTCTTATGTGGAATTATTTTTTCTGCAGCTTTCCGGCTGTTTTTTATGTTATCTAGCTCAGTGGCTCTCTTCTGCCATCTTAACTCCAGCCAAGGAGAGACTCTCATCTGCTCCTTAGGAAGTCACGTGTACTAGTTCTCATGTAATAGATTGAGGACACTCGAACTAGTTTACAAAAAGATAGAGTAAGAGAAATTATCGTCGGAATGTCCACGTGGCGTATTTGCTCTGATGACAGATCAAATTATCGTTGGGAGGCTTTCGATCCGATCTTGCCGTCGAAACTCGATGATGACCCGAAAGGAACTCCTATTGCTCCATATCCTTCCATGGCCGATCTACTTCAAGGTAATAATCTCTGAATCTTTCCGCCGTTATATTTTTATTATGTACTCTCAAATTTCATAAATCGTACGCATGCAGGATGTTCGAAGCTTATTAAGAACGATTATAGAGGAGTGGATAAATACCCAATGTTTAGAACCGAATTGGGGAAATCTGTGGCTTTGAAAGAATCTCCAATTGCAAAAGCATTATCTATCCTCGATGAAGACGACGCTGCCTCTACTGTTACTCCAAGTAAACGCTTCTCTCTTTTATTTTAATTTTTTTAATGTTTGATTCAGTTCCCAATCCACCTCCAATCAAGTTTCATACTGTAGGTGGAAGGTTGTTATTTGTTTCAAGTGAAGCACTGAAGCGCGCAAGGAGTTTTGTAGGTGAATCGGAGGTAGGGGGTTTATTTGGTGAAATGGATTAAGAGCTTCTCCATATACAGTTTAGATGGAGGAAAAACTTAACGATGCTTCATCAAACAAGGAAAGCTGTTTTTTTACTTCCTTTCCCCATGAAGGAGCAATGAAGACTAAATTCTAGTAAACAATAGTGTTTTTAATTGAAAGTGAGAACCTAGACTAAATTGTAGAGAACAATGTCAAATTACATTACATTTAATTTTAATGTTTATAAATTTTAATTTATTATGTTAAGTATTTTTATGCATATCTGGTGTCTTAATTAAAATGTATGGCTGTTAATTGGATAAAGCTATATGATATTAAATTTAGGTGATGTAGAGCATAAATGAAATATGCAAAATCAATTAATCTTAGCTAAAGAAAGGTAATTAGCGGCGTTTGTATCCACAAACGACGCTATAGATATGTTCTTTTGCGGCGTTTGTTTCAAAAACATCGGTTTATATATGATCTTTTGTGGCGTTTATTTTGAAATTGCTGTTATAGATCTCGATTTTTTGTGGCGTTTGTTCTAAAAACAACGCTATAAATATCGATTTTTTGTTGTGTTTGTTCTAAAAACACCGCTATATATCATGACTTATTGTGGCAATTTTTGTTCTCAAACGCCGCTAACTTTAGCGGCGCTAGTATGGCCGGCACTTCTTGCGGTGTTTTTCTATCGCCGTAAGTGTTTTTAGTGGCGCTTAAAAATGCCGCTATAGGTCTAAAAAACCGCTGCTAAAACTCTATTTTGTTGTAGTGCTAATTTTGTTTTGATTTTTTTTTCTAATTATTCAAACTTTGTTTATGTAATTGGTTATCCATGGAATTCTTTAATTCGAGCTCATCTATTTTACAAACTTTTTATAGTTTTGGAATTAGGGTTTGTTTCTATATTTCCTCCTTGATTTTCGAATGAATTTGCGTGTAAGATTTTCGTCTTTTTCAGCATTAATGTAGTTTAACAAAATAATTGTTGCTATTGAGCATAACTATAGAAACATATGATATTCATTCTTATTAAAATATTATTATTGAATAAAAACAATAATAATATTACAGGAGAACAAACACCATATTTTAACATAGGTTGATTTAAAATGTAAATGATTGTTGTTTGCAGGCATGGGAATTATGGAAACATGGTGTAGCATTAGAATTAGTGGGCCTGCTACGCGTGGAGGATAGTCCACTTGATCAACTAACGATGTTAGATGTTATTTCAGTCCTAAATGGAGAAATGCAATTGCCGTTGTCAAAACAGCCTGCATTTTTCATTGGGGAAAGGATTGCAGAAACAAATGTAGGGGACAAAAAGATGGAAAATTACTTCTCAACGGCCTAACCATGTCTATCATGGTTGACAATCTTATATAAGAGTTGGGATGAAGCACTCGCATCTCAAAAGCATGGTCGAGTCATCATTTTGTCGTTTCATGGGAGCATCTTAAGTGATTTCTTAGGTTCATATTTTGTTTATTCTAGTGAACAATGTTGAACTCACATTTCACTTTAATGTTTATAAACTTTGATTTATTTTTATTATTTAGTATTTCTACTTAATTTGTATCGTAATTAAATTTCAAGTTTATTGTTATTGGATAATGCTACATGATATTAGATTTGGGTAATACATAGCAGAAAATGATGCATGTTAAATCAATTAATATTAGCGGCGTTTGTAAAATAAATGACAATAGAAATCACGCTCTTTTGCGAAGTTTTTGGAAAAAAATCGCAATTAATGGCGTATATAGTTGCGATGTTTTTAAGGTAAAACACCACTATATACATATCCAATAGCAGTGTTTTTCGTGAGAAACACCACTATATGTCATATCAAATCAACCTTTGGGAAACAAACGCCACTAAAGACAAAGCAATTAGCGGCGCTTTAGAAACAAACGCTACTATAAAGCTCGACATTTAGCGACGTTTCATAAACAAACACCGCTATAAAATTTGACATTTGGGCGTTTTATGTTCACAAATGTTGTGAATTGTTGTAGGGTTAGATTTGACGACGCTGTTGTGACGCTCTTACTAGCACTGGAATGGTTTTTAACGACGCTTAAAAATTGCTATAGGGCTAAAAACATGTTTTGTTGTGGTATGTTGGGATGGCAATTTAACCTTAAATAGATGGGTTTCGACCAAATTTGATCCGATTGGGTCAGATTTTATTCTTAAAAAAATGGGTTTGAGTCGAGTTCGGTCGAATTTTTTAAAGAGTGAGGTAAGGTAGGGTCACGTTCGGGTGGAGGGTGAAAAAAACTCCAACCCTACCTAACTCAGAAATAATAATGTATTTTTTTTAAAAAAATATTATTTTTAATTAAGTCTTTATTTTATACCGGATCAGACCAGGTTGGATGGAAGATATATAACTTTCGGGTTGAGTCAGGTTCATATATAGGATACAAATTTTCGGATCGAATTGACCAAAAATTTAACCCTAACTCGACCCATTGTAACCCGTAGTAGTATGTTATGCAAATATAACAAAGTTTTGTTGAAAAACAGGGGTTGAAAGTGACTGAAAAATATTTAAAAATTTTAAAATTTTATACGTTTTTAATATTTTTATTGATAATATATATTTGTTTCTAAAATGTTATAAATTTATTTTTTTAAATTTAAAAATTCATATTTTTAACATAAAATTCTAAATTAAACCGAAATAAAATTGAGAAATATACTTGTCTAAAGTATGGATTAGATTTTAAAGGTATTCCACAAAATATATGCCCTTTCAAGATTTAACAATTATGAATGTAAGTTACTTCCAAAAAAAATCTTTGTAAGTTCTTTCAAAAAGAAATAGTATTTATGTAAGAATCTTTCAAAAGAAATATCTATGTAGGAAAATCAACAAACACTTGGGGAGAATAAGCAAGGGTGGATTGAAGGGTGGTCCTTTTTAAAAATTTAAAATTATTATATATTTTAAATATATTTTATTTATTTTATGTTAAAATATATTTTCATCTTTTAAAATTTTATTAATTTATTACTTTCTAAAATTTTAGAAATTTGTTATTGTAACAAAAAATCCTACACCCATTCATGAAAAATAAAGATATTTGTTTTGGGACAATATAGAAGATAGAGAGTGTATGGTATTTGCATTGATGCGTAAATTAGTTGTTTATTTTATTAAATTTGATTAATGATAATTGATTTTATTTCTTAATCTATTAACAATACACTAAATTTTAAAAGAAATCTTATATTAATTTTTTTTATTAATTTTACGTAACTATAAGGTAGTATATATTCAAAATTAATTTTCAAACATTTGGAATTAAACGCCTATAACCTCGATATTTATGATGCTCGAACTCGAGATCTCAAGAAATAACAATAATTTCTTTACGATCGAGATCATTCAATTCGTATTTATATCATTGTTTTAAATAATGGTGATTATATAAATTAAATTATTTAATTTATCCATACTTATATTTAGGGGTCGCGAGTTTTTTGTCAACCCGATCCAACTTAAAAATATGTATCCTCCACCTAAATCTAACATAATCCTAAAAATATATATCTTTCAGCCGATTAGAATTTTTAGCGTATATATACAACCCGACCCGATGTGATGTAAAATAAGAATTTAATTAAAAGAATAATATTTTTTAAGAAATTATATTATTATCCCCATATCAGGTCGGATTGGAATTTTTCACCAATCACCCAAATCGACCCGATCCGACTTGACTCACTTAAAAAAATTCAACCCAACCTGATTCAACCAACTCGTACTTATTTTTTTTAAAAAAAATCTGATTCTATCAAATCAGCTCGTCAACAATTTCGGATTAAATTAAAATTCCTACCATTTAAGTACAACTCATGCATATCAAGCACCGTCATAACTGCGTCAAGATGGGAGCAAGCTAACTAAGTAACTATCAGCAAAAGCGGCAAAATTCTCCCAAAAAATCATGGTTATCAAAACTGGACCGGTCGGTTCAACCGGTTGAACAGTGAATCGGTAGCCTGTCCGGTCTGGTTACCTCACAAAACCGGTTTGGCAATGAACCGGCTGAAAATCTGTAGAATCGACTAAAAACCGGTAAAATCGGGGTGAATCGACTAAAAACCAGTTTGAACCGCCGGTTTACTTTTTTCTTTTAAAAAAATTAAACCAAACGACGTCGTTTGTTCAACGAGCCAAGTCAAATTCGAGTATTGTTGAGCTCGACTCAAACTCGAAACTTTAAAAGTAAGCTCAACTCAACTCAAAAACTCATGAGCTAAAAATTATCAAGTTCAACTCGAACTCGAAATATAATATTAAAACTTGAACTCGAAAAGGCTCGAACTCAAAAAAAATTAGAAGTTCAATTGAAGCCTAAAATTTGAGCTCAATTGAAGCGAAAGAATAGTTCGCCCTGAACTTACCAAAATGCTCCATGATTTTGAATGTCAAATTACCTCTATTATTTATAGAAGTAAGTTAAGATGTTCTTCTATGTTTCTTAGCCATGTGGGATTGTTTTGTTCTCATATTTTTACTCTTTAAACTTTTGGAATGCTCTTTTATGTTTCTTAGCAATGTGGGATTGTTTTTTTTAAAAAAAAAATTAAACCAAATGACATCATTTGTTATGATTTTTTAAGCCCCAATTTTATTTTTTTAATTATAGTTATATAATTATATTTATTATTTAATATGTTTTACCTTATATATTATGTTGTAGTTGATTTGAATCATTTTGTTTCACTTGATTTTATGGATTTTAATTTATATATGTTATGACTTGTAATATTTTTATACATTTTAATATTGTAAACTTAAAAAAAGTGTTACATATATATTAATATTGCTTTGAATATTATGTAAAATTAAAAAAATATTATTTTATATAAAATCCGATTCAACCGCGATTGAACCCAGTTAAACCAGTGAACTAATAAATCAGAACCTTCACCGATTCAATGTCCGATCCGATTTTAAAAACATAGCAAAAAACCAAAGAATAAATTGACGACGTTCCGTTAAGCTAAGATCCTGTTTGGATATATAAATACCCCAAGCTCCAAATCGTATATGTCCTTTGATCAGATCTTTGTTCAAGTTCAACCACGCGTATTAACCGCTGCGGATTT